CTGAGTCAGGCTTGAGTTTTACTCATCTTTTCCTGTTAAATCAATAAATCAAATCAAATCAAATCAATGGTATGATATGGTTTGGTATGGTTTGGTTTTGTTTGGTTTGGTTTGATGTGGTCTGCTTTGGTTTGGTTTGATGTGGTGTGGTATGGTTTGAGGCAGGCCTAATGAAGCTGTTCATGATGAGGAAGGATCATTATGATAAGGAGCTGATGACCTGACTGTGTTCTGCTCTCTGTTTTAATAACTGAATAATTACTGGTTGTGATGATAAAGAACACCTTTATATTTAGATAAAAATAAAACTGGTCCCCACAGTCAGTTCTTTCAGTCTGTTGATTGGTTGGCTGGTTGGAGGCAGATGTGTTGTCTCTGCTTCAGCCCAGGTGAGTTCTGCTTCATGGTTCTGGTTCTGCTGGGCCTGGTTCCTGTCTGACATCTGAACAGGACTGTGTGTGTCTGCAGGAGGAGAAGATGAGTGGAGGGATGAACAGCATTGATGCGGTGAAGAAGAAGATCAAAGTTCTCCAGGAGCAGGCAGAGGAGGCGGAGGAGCGTGCCGAGCGTCTGCAGAGGGAGGTCGAGAAGGAGAAGAGGACCAGAGAGGAGGTGAGGACTCACCTGTTCAGGTATGATGATCAGTCATCAGTCATTGAACAGGAGCACGGCCCGTTGGCTGAGAGCTTCTGACAACAAAGGCTGGGTCCAAAACCACAGGCCAGGTCCTGTGAAGGACCCAGCCTGCTGGTCGAGGTGGACCAGGTCCTGTGAAGGACCCAGCCTGCTGGTCGAGGTGCACCAGGTCCTGTGAAGGACCCAGCCTGCTGGTCGAGGTGCACCAGGTCCTGTGAAGGACCCAGCCTGCTGGTCGAGGTGGACCAGGTCCTGTGAAGGACCCAGCCTGCTGGTCGAGGTGGACCAGGTCCTTGGTAGACCTGGAAAAGCAGAAAAAAGTGTTAGTTAATTTGGACGGTCCAGACTCCCGTCCTGACCCTGGTCGGTGTAGGTCAGGTCACCTAACAAACCTGACGATGTTAAACACAAGCTAACAGATCAAATGAGAAAAATATGAATAAATTATGTTAAAATCACAAAACAATCAAATAAAGATAATATTTGAAGAACTAATGGACCTGCTGTAGGTTTATTTCACTTTATAAGTTTGGTTTTTTCCTGACAAAAATACTTTTTAAAAACACAACCACTTTATATCACCGTATTTTTATTTAAAACATTCGTTTCTCTCGTTTCGTCCAGCATTAGTAGCATAAAAAAATCTCTGGTCAGGCTGCAGTGCATCATGGGACATGGTGGTGTGGGGGTGGGGGGTCCATCAGGCTGCAGTGCATCATGGGACATGGGGGTGTGGGGGTGGGGGGTCCATCAGACCTGTCCTTCAGTCAGGGCCAAATGAGGACACATTTGTCGGCTCATCAGAGGACTCTTCAGTTTTGGACAGCCTCCGTCACAGTGCTGTGACGTATGCAACCAACAAATTCGGCCTTCGGAGGACCCGGACCACCGTTTGGGACACAGCCTCTCCACTTGGGCCGTCACTTAGAAACAAGAGGCTGATGTTTGAAGACTGGAGTCAAACCAACACAAGGAGCTCCAACATGTCCTGACATCAGGCTGCTCCCTGCTCTGGACTCCAGGTCAGGGTTGGACCAGATGTGTCTGGTTCTGGTGGCACACTGATGGAGCTCCTCCTCCACCATGGACCTGTTCACTGTTTGCAGCAGCAGGGACTAATTCCTGGTCTTCCTGCTCTGAAACTGTCTCGCTCTGATCATCACTGGCTGTTTCATCCTTTGGACCCGCTCCAGTTTGGATTTCTGCTCAAGCCCAAAGAGGTTCTGTAGGAAATGAGCTGAACTGTGCAGGTTGAGAACCTGACGAGAAGACCTCCTGAAGCTCTGAGCCGTCACGTGTCCACTGCTGCACAGAGTGGTACTACGTTAGCTTCATGCTAGTTAGCTGTTGTTATTCAGCTTTATTTCACAGGTCATGTGTGTATTAGTGTGGTTTTTATTTAATTTGTTTGGGGGGGGGGGTGTCAACATTACACAGTAATCAGAATCAGTTTTATGTAATAATTATAATGTACCATGTCAGTGATAAACACAGACCTGCAGTTAACAACACACACACACACACACACACACACACACACACACACACACACACACACACACAC